AAAATAATTTATGAAAATTTCTAAATTTGGTCTATTGCGCTATGTATTGATGCCTTTCAGTATGTTCCAATGGGATTTGAATTTTTTATGGAAATACTAGAATTTCACTATTCTACTAGTGCTTTGTTTTTGTCTCTTAGGAAACAAAAATATTTTTTTGCTCTTTAAATGGGAACTAAAAATTTTGTTCCTTAGCGTCTAGTGTCTACCATCTTCCCAGAAGGCTACCATGCCATCTCACCAACAACTTTCCACAACTGCATAGACTAAAAATGATTTTAACACATGGCTGAACCCAAGTAATTGGGACCATGGATTGCTAAATTGAGTGTGATTTGAAGTTTGTAAGTTCTTTTCTTTGGTGTTTATCCTTATCTATGTATAGAAAAGAAGGAATAAAGCATATCTGATATTCATGCCTACCAGGTATTTGACAAAATGCCTCAAGCTATAGTGGTATTGATTAAAACATATCAGAATTGTTGTTTTGGAATTTAATAGACTGACAAAGGTATTAGTTAAAAAGTGGACTAGTATGGATGAAGTTTTTGGTTTAGGCGTTTCTTAAAAATCAATTCTTGGGTTTGTAGCTCCTTTGTGTTAAGAGTTCTGAAAGGGCTTTGTGTTCACATATTGGGCTCCAAACCCATGGCTCATTCCAAAAGGTACTGATATTGGAAATTCACTTCATTTGTGGGTTGCTTTACATCTGTATATAGAAGTTAATCTAGCAATGCAAAAAATAATTCAACTTTGGTCAGTTTATGAATAAAAAATTGGGCAATAGTCACTATTATGTACCTTAGTGGATGTTGACTTATCAAGACTCCATAATAGTTATGTACTTAGATTTGCAAAGTGTATAGTAGCTAACTTTAGATTTGCTATTAGATTTGCAAAGTACATAGTAGCTGACCTTAGTGAGTTGAATTCCTTTATGCAACAGTATGGTGTATCACCAAAAAGATTTGGAGAGTACAAGGAACTATGTACTTTCTTCAAGGTCTTAACAACTAGTGCAGATTCAGATAATAACGTATTGACCACGGGCAATTTGTTATATTTTATCAATTATCAATCTATATGATATTCCAGCTAAAATTTTCTCTATATGAATTATCAATTGATTATTTATTTTTATCAATAAATAAGTTTTACTCTCCAATGTTTTTTTTTTCTCCCTATATATTTGAACATTCTAAATTTAGAACATTTATTTGTATCAGGTCTATGTCTCCACAGTCCATGGACACAATTATCCTGTTACTGCCTTCCAATGGCATCCAGAGGTACTATCTTTGAAGTGTATCTCATCATATTTGTATTGGAAATGTGAGATTCATGATTTTGTTTATTGGATGTTGTCCTATGTTGTTCATTAGCCATTATTGTCATCACTATTTTTGATCTAGTTATGTTGACCCTCTTGTGTTCTAGAAATGATTCCAACCTTTCCAGTTAGTGTGGAGACTATGCTAATGGAGGGAGCTAATTAGCACACTTTTTAATTAGCTCCAATTGTTTACACTTGCTAATTGATGCATAGGAATGACACTTTTTATTGATACATATCACCTCAAGCCCATAATGAGATAGATAATGATCGTATAGATCAGTTTTGTATTTTTAGATTTTTGATGCAAAAATATTTGAAATGTTGTCCATTTGTTTATGTTTTTTCAATCTTCTTTCCATGAGATATTCCAATTTGATTGAGAACAAAGTAGATAAGAGTTGAGGGGAAAATATATTTATTTTGTTGTTCCTTGAGTATTGTTTGTACCTAAATGAAATTGAATTCCCTCCAAATTTGTGTTCAATGACACGTGGGAATAATATTTAATAACTTTCTCAATTATTTTTTTCTCTTTTCGTTTCCCTCCTACCAAACAAAGCATAACATTGATGAGTATTGTTGTTGCAGGAAATTTCTGCCTTGAGATGGAACCGTTTTGGAGAAAAGATTCCTTGATAGATAAAAATGAAATTTGATGTGTTTAATTCTAGTAACTTGAAGAACCAATTTATGCTGTGAATGCACAACTGTCCAAAGTAAAAGAGAGATTTGTGTTGGGAATACAAGTTACGATCACGAGTTTGTTGGTTTGGATAGTATATGTATTTGTTGGATTATACTATATTTATGGATTTTTATTTTGTTTGATATGTACGGTTAGTAGTTAAGTTTTGTATGTGGTTGAAAATTGAGTGGTACAAATATTTTTATTGAATGGTTAAGAATTGAATAAATGAATGAATAGATGAATAATTTTGTATATGCGTAGGTTATAGATGGCGCAAAAAATATTATAGAATAAATTATAAAAACTAAATAAGACCTTTTGGTGACTAAACAAATGTCACGGGTTGACTTTTAGCTATTAAAACTTTAGTCGCCAATTGTAAAAAAGTACAACTGTTGGTTACTAAACTGTTAGTCGCCAATTGTAAAAAAGAAACTTTTGGCTACTAAAATTTTGGTCCCTAATTCTCAAAAAGTTAAATTTTTGGCTACCAAATAATTAGTCGCCAAACATACATGCTCAATTGGCTACTAAATAATTTAGTCTCTAAAAGTAAATATATTTATTTATTTAATTTTTTTAAAAAATATATGGTGACTAAGGTTTTAGTCGCCAATAGGTCAGTTTTGGCTACCAAAAAAGTTTTAGTCACCGATTGTTTCCCCGACAAACTATAGGCGACCAAATGAGCGACCAAATATATTAGTTGGCAAAAGTGATTTGCGACTAAAAACAAGGCTTTTGGCGACTAAAATTTTAGTTGCCAAAAGTAAAATTTCTTGTAGTGAATGTAAGTCCCAAATCCCTTGCCCTATCATTGTAGGTCAATTGTGGTTTCTAAATTGTAGCATTCTTCAAAAAGGGTCTTTCCCATAGCTATTTATGTGATCATTAAAAGCCCTTTCTTTTGCATCTACATGTTAACTTTGATGGATGTAATATTCTAATGTTCATTTGTCAGTTACAGGCAAGTACCTAGTATAAAGCTTTTATAGTTACTTTTCAAAACTAATAGTTGGAGAACTGCATCAAAATTTATTTAACATTGACTTCTTTTTTTTTATCATTGTTTTCTGACCCTTCTCTGAGCTCTATGTTGGTGAAAGATTTTTCAATTCGTACTTGAGTTAGTAGTTTATTTTATTTACTTCACAAGCATTTTGGCAAGTCACAAATCATGGTGTACATCAAAAGTTGTAATAGATAAGAAGCATTCTTAGTCTGAACTGACTTTTTTAAGTTTCTTATATTATCACTGTAGATTGCCCATTTTAATATTTCAGGGTCAAGAATCAATGAACAAAGATAAGTCCTCTTCCTTCTGTCCTTGATTTTTTATTTTTTTGTTACTCATTGCTTAATCATTTGGCTACATAGCTTTGCTATTCATGTTAAATATTCCATTTGTATTCTTCATTTGCTTTTGATTGGGTTGGAGATGGTTATTAATTTTACGCAATCATTAAATGGCCATGTTGTTTTGAACTGTTGGTCATCATACACACTGCAGCAAATGTGGCATGGTCTGACAAGAATTTTGCATAGTTTTTTTTTTGTATATGAGGTATTGTTGCCAGATATGCTTTATTATAAGACAATAAAATATTTTTTTTAATAAATTTACTTTATTAAGTTTAATGAATAATTTCTGAATCAAATATATATATTGAATGCAAGAAGGTAGTCTAGATCTCTATCAAGCATATAATCCTGAATTTTCTTTGTCCATATTTAACTGCTTGACCATGAATTACCCTTCATCTGTTTCTTTTTTGTATTTCCTTAATCAAGATTTTTTGGGTTGTTTTTTATATTATTTTTGTAGTGGGGAGAATGTATATTTTCTTTGCAAATAGCTCTGCACAAATGGAGTAGCAGATGCAGAGGGATCTGATCTATTTGTTTTTTTCATCTCCAATAAGAAAAAGCAGGTATGTAACTTCATATTTTTCTTATGAGTACTTATTGTGTTCCAGTAGATTCTTATGGTTCCATGATATATTCATCATTCCCATGAACTGCTGCTTCTGTGGATTTATAATTGTCAAAGCTCCATTTGGTGGTGAAAAAATGAGACATTAAACTTCTAACTAATCAACCCAATCCTTGACCTGCTTCGCTTCCTTAAAACACCATCCCAAAACCTCCATTGCATTGTTGTCATGGATGGGAAGCACCTCCACCTCCCAACCACCCTTACAGCCATGATGACCAACACTCAACAGCTTTGGAGGCGATGTTGGTGCCTCCGCTTCAATCAATGTGGTATCATCACTTGTTTATGCATAAATGAATGTAACAAATTGCTTGATTTACTTTTTTCCTGTTCCCATTTGCTGGAACTTACAAAATGTTCGTATTATGATTCTCACTACAGGAAATAAGGGTTTAGGTGGCGTTTTTTTAACGGCGTTTTTTAAAACGTCACTATTTTTAATATTTTACGGCGTTTTATAAACGTCTTGTTTTTCTTTAATTAAAACGATGTCGTTTTATGAATAGGAGGTTTTTATTTATGCCTTCAAATGCATGTTGTCTCACGCGCTTCCTTTTCCAATCTGAGAATCTCAACTCCCAAATTGAATCAATGCACTCACAAATAGTCTCTCTCTCTCTCCCCGTTGTCTAAACCCTCAGAAATTGAAGTTGATTATCAATGGAATGCTCAGAAATTGAAGTTGTCTCTCGAAATCGAAGTGATTCATCAGAGTGATTTCGAAGTTCATCTCAGCGATTCAGATCTCGAAATCGAAGTTCATATCTCGAAATTTTAAAATTCTGAGTTCAAATCACTTCGATTTCATATTGCAATTCAAATCTGAGTTTATATCACTTCGATTTTGATTTAGATCTGAGTTCATATCACTTCGATTTCGATTCAGATCGTGATTCAGATCTCAGCGATTCAGATTGGTCTCAATGATTCATATCTCGAAATCGAAATCGAAGTTCGATTCAGATCGTGATTCAGGTATAAACGATTCAGATCGGTCTCAGTGGTTCACATCTTGAAATCGAAATCGAAGGTCATCTCAGCGATTCAGATCGGTGATTCAGCTTGGTGATTCAGAGGTTCAGATCGATCTCAGCGATTCAAATCGGTGATGAAGACAGTAAGATTACCACTGTTCAACTAAGGTTACTGCAATTTTTCCACAAAACATTATCACATGTTCAGGAGACACAACTTATGATGAAGACAGTAAGATTACCACTCTTTATCTCTTTACTTTTTCTTCTCCCTACAAATCCCTTCACATATCCAATATCCAAACATAGCTCAAGCATTTTACTTCTTGTTTTTTATGAGTGACATGGGATTTGCTTATATGTCTTTGATGTAATAATGATTTCTTGAAGAATTTACTTCATAACAAATTCTTCTGGTCTTGTGAATTCTGAAATTAGGGCTGTAAATTTGATGCAAAATTGCTAGTTATGCCAAAGGTGGAATGTATAAACTAACTTCTTGTGAGATATGATTGTTTTGATTCTTGTTTTGGATTATATAATGGTAAATTTCAGGAAATTCTAAGAGAAGGGCAATACTGTTGGGAGTAGGAGCATTAGCTTTGATTTCATGCCCTGCAAGTTCACTCTTTGCTGAAGGTATGATGGTTTTTTTAGATATACCACATTAATGTGTGCATAATTTATGAAGTCTGTTGTTTAGGAATTTGATTTCAGAGGGCACGATTCTGCATTCAAAGACCGATATCTGCAATTACAAAGTGTTCGGGTGAGCGTTGGGAATGCCCTGCACTCAAATTTCTCTGACAACCCTGACCAAGAATGTATCCTTGCCACAATTTTGCATGTACAAACACATATATCAACACACATGCATATGAAAAAGAGATGGCATGCAAACATACATTACATGCATAGATGAGAAATTATGTAATGGATTGAGAGTGATCAATAATTATATTCATAATGTTAATGGATTTACCTGGCTAAGTATTCCATATATATATTATCTTGTTTTCCCTGAAAATGTGACTACTTGACTGTGTTTCATAGCTATTAAACAGGAAAAGCTGATCCTTGGAATGCTGAGCCCTATCGATGAATTCTCCAACATAAATAGTAGGAACAAACAGTGAATGATACTAAACAGAAAGCAAAGGTGTGATGTCTGAAAGTTGATTGCTTGAAGAGGTAATATGTTAGTAACTTGAGATCCTTTGTGATTGTTAATGTTAATTGGATGGTTATAGGCAATGTATGAAGAAGTTTATGACAAGCTCACATGTGATTGATCCGTGTTACATCTAGTGATTCTTTAAGGATGTATGGCCTGCAGCCCATCGTTTTGGCCCGGGTCCAGTCTCGCCCTCCTATCTCAGGTAAGGCTAGATATATGGAACATTGCTTGGTCTGAAAACCCAACCCGGTTTCATGAAAACAGAAGCATAACTAAGTATTATTATTTGGTTTAAAACTTGAGAGGAGTGAACCAATGGCTGGGCAGATTTTGCTGAGGCTTGAAAAGGGCAATAATTGCAAGATAAAAAGAAGAAAGAGGTGGGTTGGGCGGGGTATCTAGGAATCACTCCCAGAACTGGGCATCACACCTAATGTTAGAGGGTGGGGGGGAGGGGGGGGGGCGGGGGTATCTAGGAATCACTCCCAGAACTGGGCATCACACCTAATGTTAGAATTGTATCACACTAATTCAAGGAAGCTATAAAAGCTCTGAAGATTCTCTAAAAACTTGACTCTATTAATTAAAAATCATTACCCGACTTTTGTTCCTAACCTGCTCTGCTTTCAAATAGCTTGTTTGTGTTGTAAACGCCTACTTTTCCTTTTTCATTGCTTCTGTTTTAGTTTATTATACATTTTTTAAAAATCTTTTATTTAGTTTGTGAGTTTATTTGGAATCCGATAAGCTTACAGTTAGTAGCGGGCCAGTGCTAGATCAGATGATTTGGAAATTTGAGATATTAAATCTATATTCCTTATTGAGTTAAGACATTTTATTTCGGATTGACTATTGAGTGAGATGGCCCTGTTTGGTTAAGACATTTTATTTCGGATTGACCATATCATTGAGTTAATACATTTTATTTCGTATGTACAGAAGTGAACAGGCTTGCAACATGTTGAGAAGTGCTTAGATGTAGTTGCTACTTTGCAAGCTAATAAGGGTACTGGCGAGGTTCGTTTTTAACTTCAGAAATTTTTAAATATTTATGTAGTTTGAGTAAACCTATATATAACTGAGCTGTCAACTGAGATTTGAAATTGAGATGACAGTTTACTGGTGTGAAGGCAGACCTCGTTAGTTTTATTTGCTTATTTTGGTTTTGTACGGATGGATATATTGTGGTCAAGAGCATGATTTCTGTTACTGGAGCATTAGCTCTCTTGGGTTTATGAGCATTAGTTGATGCAAGTTTATGCATGTGTGGTGAATAGAACATTCAACTTTAAAATGGTGGGCTCTAATTTTTCACATTGATGTTGGGTAAGTGTAGCAGTTGTGTCACATGCACATAAAACCTATGGTATTGGTATCAAATGCGGACCTTCTAGTTTGTGTTGAAAAACTTCAAGCCAATGCTTTTCAGCCCCTCCTATTGTATCGTACATATTCCTATATTTATGTGTTTTCGTATTCTAGTTGCAGGCATTATTAGTTGATTTTGAAGTGTCAGAAGGCATCTATTCCCGAGCATGCATCGAGGATACTGATTCAGTATGTCTATGGCTGGGAGCAAATGTCATGCTGGAGTACTCATGTGAAGAGGTACCCCACTTGTAATCTTAAGATGTTAGCATTTACACACGGACACGAGATTTTAAGTGCTTCAAACTTCAAAATGCAGGCCACTGATCTTCTACAAAAGAATTTGGAAAATGCTAGAGCTAGTTTAGAAGTTCTTGTTACAGATCTACAATTCTTAAGGGATCAAGTGACCATTACTCAGGTATAGTTGGTGTTTCTCTTTTTATGAGTTGTGGTTATTAATTGATTTTAATTTTTTTTTTTAAGAAAAAGAAAAAGAAAAAACCTAAATGTAATTAATAAAATAAAAAAACTATTTTGGAAACAGATGATCCAAACCCGAAACCAAAAAAGCCTGACACTCTGGCATCAATCAGGGATCTGATTGGTCATACCATCTATTATTTAGGTGGTGCATGGACTGCTAGAAAGTTCAATGTTCCTTATATATATATATATATATATATCTTGTGTATCTATGTAGAGAGTGCTCTTTCCTACTATAGTTGCAGTTGTTGTTTGTCGGGTGAGAGAGATTGCAAGTTTTGTGTCCTTTTTTTCAACTTATTTAATCTATTTTTGAATCATAAGTTATAAGTAGAAGTTGCATTACCAAATAGCGTAGCACAGAAATTCAAATTAAAAAAAAAAATTGAAAAAAAGCTGTAAGCAGTTCCAAAAGTTGCACCAAACAGGGCCAACATGTTGCAAGCCTGTTCACTTCTGTACATACGAAAGCTCACTTGATTTGAGTATTTGGTGATGGGTCTTTAACCGTATCACTGCCATGGAAATTTGAGAGATTAAATCTATATTCCTCATTGAGTTAAGACATTTTATTTCGGATTGACTATTAAGCATAACACGGAGATGTTCAGGTAAAAAATTTGCCTCAATTCTGGTATACCAGTGTTATGGTTTACAAAGTTTTAACTTCTTTTGTTTTGATTTTTGTTAGCTTGTGAGGCGCTTGGAAGAGCAGCTCTGGTAATAGATGCGTGGATGTTTATTTTTCTTGCACAATGCTTAATCATACCTGCAAATTTTGCCATCTAGATGGCAAAATTTTAGAGACATTAGATCTCGAATCGATGTTAGTTGGGCAATCATAAATGTAGTTGAACTTGACATCTATCAGTAGAAGTCCTCTCCACCTCTATTTTTTATTCGTTAGTTAAAATTGATGCTTTTGATTAGTAATTGTATTTGATGCCCAATCATTTATGTATAGGAGAAAGTAACAGTCTTTTTTTGTTTCTTTTTGTTTGTAGATTTTGACAGATGCTGCCTTACTGAAACGACAAAAACTAGAGATAAGAGGATCTACGTAACAAACTTCAGGTGAATGATCCTATTTCTATTTTTTCTTCATGCTAAGGCAAACAAAGAACAAATTTAATGCTGTAAACATCTTTTTCAGGGATCTCGAGCTGAAGTGCTGGAGCAAGAGATCTTGAACTTGCGGAATGACATGCTCAAGGCAGTTTTTTATCGTTATGTTTACTTTTATATTTTGTAGTTATGTCTATTTTATTGTATAGTAAGCTCTATTTTAATTGATGTATTTAAAGTCTGAATTGTTGTTATTCTTAGGTATGCAATGCATTGTTTCTTATTTTTAATTTTGTTTTTAATCTTAGTTTATTTATTATTTTAATAAACATCAATTATTAGTTCTTAATAATTGTTTGATAGATATTTTTGTTGTTCAACCATATAAAATTAACAAAATTAAAAAATTAAAAAAAAAGGCTATGGTGGCGTTAAAAAAACGTCACTATATCCCATCCCAACGGCTAAATTTTTAAAATGTATTAATGTCTATGACGGCATTTTCAAAAACGTCGCTAAATGTCATAGTGACGTCATAGTACAGTTAGTAGGACATTTGGCGGCGTTTTTAAAAACGCCGCCTATACTAATATAACGACGTTTTTCAAACGTCATAAAGTTATAGCGACGGCCGCGTCATCGGCGTTTGGTACTAAACGTCACAAAAAGATTTAGCGACGTTTTTAGTACTTTTAGTGGCGTTTTTAAAACACCGCTAAAAGTGTATTTTCCAGCAATGTCTAGACGCAAAGTCAACCCGCGTAAAAGACAAAATGAACAAGTTATATTATTGAATTATAATGGGCCCAATGAAAGGATGGCATTACAACAAAAATTATTAAGTGGTCCTTAGTCATTAGGTAACAGTATTTCTTTCAATCACAAAAATCTTTTACTGTTTCTCATAATTTAAAATTATGTGTCTCATTCTTTTTATCAAACATAATTATTTGATTAAAATTTTCAAAAATAGCTTTTTAAGTTTCAATTCAAATTTTTGTATTTCTAATAATTTTTTGAAAATTTTTAATTATTTTTTTTACTTTTTAAATTCACTTAATCTCGATGTACTTAAAAATATAAAAGGGTTAATAAAAAAAAAATTATGTTTGGTTTGAGTTTTTTGTATTAAGTTTTTTGAAAACTGAGTTTTTTGTTCTTCATTTTTTTTAGTGAATATTTTTTAAATTTTAAGCATTTTTTTTTACTTTTTTTAGATGCATCTTACTTAGATATATCTAAAAAGTAAAAAAATTGTGAAAAAATATTTTAAAAAATTAATAAATACATAAAAATATGAAAAATATACTGAATTCTCGTGTTTTTGGTATTTAATGAGTTTTTAAAAGATTTTTTTCACAAAAATTATACTTTTTATGTGTATTTATGTTAGGTGTGCCTAAAATTAAAAAAAAAATGCTTAAAATATTAAAAAAATTCAGTAAAAACAAAAAAAAAAACACGAAAAACAAGAAAGTAGAATTTTCTGAAAAGTGTTTTTGGAAAACCAAAAACGAGCAAGCTGAGGGTTTTGCGTATTTTTCACTTTAAACCCTAGTGTTTTAATTTTGACAAATTAAACTCTGAAGTTCCATCCGTGTTTCAATGGCCTCCGTCAATTTTTGTTCATTTTCTTCCATAAGCAGCACACAGAATTTTTATATTAAAACCCACTTGTTGAAACATTTGTATCTCCCTCATCGTAACTCTATTTCGCCTCATTTTTGGGGCGTTGGATTTACTCCAAGACCTAGTTTTCATTCCATTCCTCATATACCTTATTCCACCTCCTTTTGCATGCTGTCAGAACTTCAAAAGTTGACCAAAGTAATATTTTTCTTCCCATTTCTAACTTTTCTTCGAGCCGTCTTTCAGACTCCATAACTCTCTTGATTCTAAACTGTTTTACTTCATTCGTTTGTCCATGTCTTCACCTCACTTCCTACTTCATCTTACGCTACCTCGTTTTCTTACTCCTCAAAATGGATGGTTTCAGTATGTCGAAAGTAGCCCAAAAACCAACTTCGAAAATTCCAAAAACTTATCTCTTTTGTTTCTTTCTCTTCTATCTTCCTTCTTTTTCATCTTCACCTATAACATGTTGTGAATGATGGTTCTAGGTTTCACAAAGATGGGCGGCGGCGGCGGTGGTGGTATTGGTGGCGGTCCGGTAGTGGCGACGATAGTAGCGAAGCTCACAATTAAAGGAGGTGATTACAAGGATGGTGATGGTGATGACATGGGTTATGTCAAGCCCCAAATTTTAATTACTCAGAAACATTTCAAAAAGTCTGTAATTTAGGTCCATTTTTTTATTAATTAAAAATATCTATTACTCTTGAGTAATAGAAACATAATAATATATGTTCTCTCTCATGATGAATACAACAATAATAATAATACATGCCAAGCTCCCACTATGGAGTTACAAAGAAATAAAACAAACATCCATATTCAATAAGATTACACATGAGATGTACATGAACTTCTTAACTCTCCAACCAATCAATCCGAATTTTTTTCCTGTAAGAAAAATGAAACGACGAGGGGTGAGCACAGTTGCCCAGTAAGAATCACATAGCTCTAAAACAATAACTATCCTATAGATAGAAATGATCATGCATGCATGGTGATACTACGTAGTAAGGTAATATTTTGTAATTTCAAAATATCATACGTAGAGTACCTTTTTCTCAAAATTTATTTGAACATTTAAAGAAAACCTTCAACCATCAAAAACTATCCATTTTTATCAGAAAACCATAAATATTTTTTTTGAAAACAAATATATTTAAGGAACAAGATCATTTTAAATTTATTAACCCATTCCAAAATATTCCTCATTTAATTCCCATCTTGACATTCCTCCTTTTGTTTCCATTCTCCCCTTTTACTAGTTACATTTATTATAACGTCATAACCTCAAGTTCAAGTTCCCTTAATACTCCAAAACATCCCACATACATGCTATTCCCACCAATTTATTCATATTTGCTGTAACTCCTTAATGTAGAAATCCAAATCTCCTTTATATGCGATTATTGTTATCCTACACTCAGCTCTTACTTGTCTAACAACTACATCACATCCACACCTGTATTATCAATTATGATTCAACAAATCACAAGGATAATAAATCCTTTTTAATTCAATTTCTCAATTAATCATAAAACAAAAGTCTTAATTTTTCTTTATAGAAACAAAGAACCCGGTGAGTTCTTTATCACTAACCCCTTATCTAATTACTATTTCATTATCCAATGTTTTAAAATAATTTATATATGCATTCCCATTCCATACCAATTTACACATCAAATGGTAATTTCGCAAGTTCATCTCAAGTCACAATAATCATCACTGACTTTAACACACTTCACAACACATTCCACATTTTGCTGGCTTGATACGGTGGGATAGCGGGCACCCAATTCATAGCACATTCCACCTTTTGCCAGCTATTATACGGCGGGAAGTGAACTCCCAAAAATCATTTTCTCAAAAACCATATCTTTTTCCGAAAACCATTTTTAGCTTTTTAAAATCATCCCTCACATTTGTCGGCTAATATACGGCAGGACGTAAGCACCCAAAACATTTTCAAAAATCATCCATTTTTTTCACTTTTGCCGGCTACAATACGGCAAGACTGTGTGGACACCCAAAAATCATTTTTCTACTTTCGCCGGCTACAATACGGCAAGACTATGTGGACACCCAAAAACATTTTTCCTACATTCGTCCACCGATAAGCCTAGATAAGGCAATTGGGCACCTTGAATTCAAACCACCCCCACAGTTACCGGCTATTATACGAACGGTTGTGGGCACCGAAAAACCATTTTTCAATTTTTTAAAACCATCCCCCACATTTACCGACTATTATACGAACGGTCGTGGGCACCGATAAATCATTTTTCAACACCCCGAGCGGGTACCAACCACAATACAACCCAACACAACTCAACTCCACACAACACAACTCAACCAATCTCAACACAACAAAACCCAATACAATTCACATAACACACAACAAAATTCAACACAACCATTTCAATACAAAGCTCATATCATCCATACCATTAGTAATTTTTTTTTCCCCCAAGTTTGGTTTTCAATTTTTTAAAACCATCCCCCACATTTACCGACTATTATACGAACGGTCGTGGGCACCGATAAATCATTTTTCAACACCCCGAGCGGGTACCAACCA